TGTGGAGGGGGAGCCGTGCTTTGCCGCCCCGCGCCTGCCTTCATGGCCCCGCTGTGTGTCTGTCGTTGCAGCGGGCATGGGGAACCAGGTGGAGAAGCTGACCCATCTGAACTACAAGGAAGTTCCCACGGCCGATCCGACAGGTATGGACAGAGATGAAGGGCCCAGGATCGGGGTCTCCTACATCTTTTCGAATGATGATGATGAGCTGGAGCAGCAGCAGGATTCAGTGCACGACCTAGGGGGTGAGCACCCAGCCCTGCAGCCTTATGATCCCCAGCTGCATGAGGTGGAGTGCTCAGTCTATTACCGGGATGAGTGTATTTACCAGAAGAGCTTTGCAGAGGAGGACACACTGCCAGAGGAGGGTGATGAAGGAGGTGGGGGGCATCTGAGCACCTACACCCCGGAGAACCTGCTGAATAGGTGCAAACCGGGTGACCTGGTGGAGTTTGTGTGCCAGGCCCAGTATCCGCACTGGGTGGTTTATGTCGGAGATTTTCAAGTGGTGCATCTGCACAGGCTGGAGGGGGTGAACAGCTTCCTCACCGATGCCAGCCAGGGCAGACGGGGCCGCATTGCCAACCAGTTGTACCGCTACAAACCCCTCAGCCCAGCCGTGGTGGTGCGCAATGCCCTGGAGCAGGTGGGTTGCAAGGACCGGGACTTGAGTTGGAGAAACTCTGAGTGTTTTGCTGCCTGGTGCCGGTATGGCAAGCGGGAGTTTAAAATCGGTGGGGAGCTGCGCATAGGCAAGCAGCCCTACCGACTGCAGATCCGGCTGGGTGACAAGCGCAGCCACACACTGGAGTTCCAGAGCCTGGAGGATCTGATTATGGAGAAGAGGAGAAATGACCAGATTGGTAGAGCTGCTGTGATCCAGGAGCTCTCCAGCCACCTGCAGGCTGCAGAGGAGGAGGAAGATGAGGAGGAAGACCATCATCATCCAGGTGCTCAGACTGCTGTGGAGTAGCAGCCCCAGCACCACCATGCTGCTTAGCCTGGGTGATGGGGATTAAAACTGAAGGCTGCGAAATTGAGCTGTTATAAGCCCTTTGGGCCGCTTCGGTGCAGCTTCATTCCAATCACATGTGAAAGGAAGGGGGAAAGCTGATTAAGTGTCTGTGCTTTAGTGCTTAACTCTTTCAGTGCTTGATGATAAAACCCCTGACTTATTTGTAGAAGATAAAACTCAGGGCAATTCTACACCTCTCTATTCCCAGTTCTTTCCCTTCCTCTCTGCCCTCCTCGTGCATAGCCTTTCCCTCAACCATCTGCCAGTGGGCCTGACCCTGTAAGATGTTAAATGCCTTTGACATCTACTTATCAGCAGAAGTTAAGAGTGTTTAGTACTATTAAGAAGGAGCCAACCACTTTCAGGGCATGACCATGTAGCTCTGAGTTGGTAGGTGAGAAGCATGAGGGTATTGTTTTTCCCTTCAGTCCCCCTGCTTCTCCTCAGTTGTGGCTCCTGTCGGTATTGCAACAAGCTGCTTGCTTGCCTGATGCAAGGTTACATGGATAGGTAGCCAGCCCTCCAGGTGGTATAAGGGAGAAATTTCCACCAATTTTAATGAACTGGGTTTGATTTGCCTCGTGCCCTCTTAACTGATAGGAGCTTGCAGGTAAGCTGGGGGACCTCCTCTGTTGCTATTAGTGTGTGGTTTTGAGGACAGAATACGTATTTCTTGCTGACTGGTCCCAGGGGATGCTGATTAAGGAGGAGTCTGCACGCTGTGCTGGGACTCTTTCAGGCAGATACTGAGCTATGCCAGTGCTCATAAAGGCTGCCTGCTTTCCCTAAAGCAAATGGCAAAGCTCCTGGTTATGTCTGTGGTACACATCAAGCAGCAGAAGCAGGTTGCTCATGTGCAAGAGTATGTCTTGAGTAAGCTGTCCCTCAAGAGCGCGGTCTTTTGGCTGGGAGCTCTTGGCTGTAGGCGTGTTACAGGTTCTGTACTGCAGTGAACCCGGCTGAGATGGGAAGTGATGGGAGGGAACATAGGCTGGAAGGCACCACAGGCAGGGGGTTTGGGTGTTCCTTTTTTCCTTCCTTGCCACGAAGCAATTTCCTTTTCATTAGGGCTTTCATGTTTCCTTTTTTGCTATTATTTGTGGTAAGCAGCTGAGCTATAGCATTAGAGCAAAGGAGGGAACATGCCTCCAAAGTTGTTGTGCAAGTCCTCATTAAACAGGAGGGGAGGGGGAGTGTGGTGCTGCCTGCCTTGAATATTCCCTGAACTTGTTTTCAAGTGTTGAACTGGTCTCCTGCACAGGCAGCACTGTCAGATTATTGTCCTGGAATCTGAAGTGTGTGAGCAAATACAGATTTGGAGGCAATATCTAATGCAAAATTCTTTCCCCTTAAAGCATAACAGTGATGAGGTGAACTTGAAGATAAGCTTGAGTTCCTTTAAATAATGGCAACGGTGTGATGTAAACCTGAAGCATAGTTAATACAGTCTTCCCTGCAGTTGTTTACAGTTATACCACAAATAGCAAAGTACTCCGTGTCCTTTCCCCTCCTGAGACGGGAGCAAAGTTTGTCACTTAAGAATAGGTAGATACCAGCTTTTGATTAGTTAAGAGTATATGAAGCAATTTTGCCAATGTGATCCAAATAGATTGTGGTGTTGTATTTTCTGCCTAAAATACACAAGGTAGGAAAAAACTGTGAAAACTACTTCATCCTTACTTCAGGAGGGAAAGTAATTTTTAGGGTTATGCAAATACACCATATACTGTTTCCTTAATGACTCCTGTGCTCTCATGTTTGGGCTGTGAAATACCCACATGTAAAGGAGAGTTTTAACACCAAACTCCCTTAAAATGCTATAGCTCAGGTGTCTGCACTGAGTGTTTGTTTTTTTCCTCCAATATGCAACTGAGTTATACTCAAGTTACTGTGGTTGTCAAGCAGATGTTCAACCATGCTTTGATAGCGTAGCTACCCGTATCTAAATATAATAGGTTAACATGTGGATGCACACAGGTTTTGTACAACTACTGGTAACTACTAAAAGCTGAAATGATCACTGAAATAGTCTGAAAAGGAGTGAAGGAGAGTCTCTGTTGTACTGACTGGTAAGAGACAACAGATTATCTAGACCATGAGTAAATGTCTGGCTTTGGTTTCTTTCATACTGAAACCTTGTACATAACAAAGTTTATTTCACTGTGTAATATAGGTATGTAAAATAATATTTTCTTACAGATATTTTTGAAAGTTAAAAAAAAAATCCCTTCATAACCTTGCTTTAAAAGTAAATTGTTAGGCACATTATTTTCCAGTCCTCTGAATGGGTTTATTTTTCATTAGTGATCTAAAGTATATTCTGGGTCATAAAGTACAGAAACTGCTATAAATGTCAAATATTATGTATCTACAGGGTACTAAACAGTAAACTAGTTGTGAAAATATTTTTCCCTTGTGTCTGAAACATCAGAACTATGACACGTAGCTATTTCTCTTCTGAGATACCCTGCATAGTCTGGCTTTGTCTTCTGTTCTTTCCCCCAGTTTTTGCTTAATAAAAAAAGGACCAAATCTGCTTGGGAATGGAGAGCAAAGCTTCTTTGCCCAACTGAAATCGTGTCTGGTGCTGATCTTAGTGCTTCTCTGTACGGGTCATGCCTTTAGGGATAAATTCCCACACAGGCATAAGGCCTTAGCAAAGAATCCCAGAGCTTGCGTTGCCTTCTGAGGATGCAGAATGAAGTGGGGAGCTTGCCTCACAGCAAAGTAGAGCCTGGCATATGTTCTGCTGTGTTATAAAACCTATATGGTCCTCTGACACCTGGGATACAGGTGTTCAGTATTTAAAGCATAGATATTTGGAATCTTTGAATTTCTCTGCAAGCTGTGTTTGGGAATTTATTCTGTCTCCCGCCGTTCCGTTCTATGTAAAAGAGGAAGGGGGAAGCCTGGAACTTTTTATTGAGTCTGGAAGAGGGATTTCTTATTCCAGCAGATAAAGATGCAACTGCTGAATCTTTAACAGGCAGGTCCTTTTTCCCTACCCTAGGCACTGTTATTTAATAGGTGCTACTAAACACCACTGCAAACATTTCTAAGCAGTCTACTTTTTAAGCCATGGACCTGTAATGAGCTGGATGTGAGAACAGGAATTGCTGTAGAAGCACATCACAACTGCTTAATCTCTTGTCTTTGCTGTACTCTATTCGGTTACTGTCTGCAGACTAGGCTGGGAAATCTAGAGCTTGATTTTAAAGTAACAGATCTCCCAGGAAAACAGACTTTTCTGTGTATGTGTCTACTTCAAGAGTTTTTTTGTAGATCACAAAAGACAGGGGAAAAGAATAGATAAAAGTGTTCTTCTCTGCAGCTTCTTCTTTAACATACAGAAATTCAGGTGTGATCCTTCTGCAGAACTTCAGGTTCAGCAAAGGTCCTAAGCCTATACTGAAGCTTGAAGTTGTGAATAGACCCTACCTTGAGCCACTTGAAAATAGTAAGACTACTCATGTGCTTGAAGTTAAGTGTGTATTTACCTTTCTTTGTGAATAAGGGCCTGGAATTTCAATCTGAGGTCTCTGGTGGGAGCGTAGAGGATCTGAGATTTCATAATCATCAGGGGAGAACAAGTGGTGCTGTGAAAGCTGTTTCTCAAAGAGCCTCTTGTCCACACAAGGCTCATGGAATCCAGCCCAAACTTTGGCCTCAGTTTCCCACTGGAAATCCAGGAGCTGCACTGATTTGGTGAGAACTGTACTACACAGCAGTTGTAAACTAAGCTGGTGATTGCACTGCAGACTGTTCCTGGTGCCTTTGTCTTGTCATGCTTGAAATTTCCCTCGTGTTTTTAACATTTAAAGTTAATATTGTTGTTTTAAAAGCTCTTTGATTGTGCAAACACTTAATCACCTATATGAATTTACTCATTTGGGCGTACCTACTGCTACTGATAAGATGACTGCTGTGAATATCATTATGCACATGTTAAGGCTGGCAAGACTGAGCTCCAGATGTGTAAATGTAGCTCCAGCTAGGTAATGTAGATGAACAGTCTTATTTCCCCAGAGTATTGGTGTGTTTGATGCAAATAATGTCTTGGAAAAGGCTTTACAGTAAAACCTACAATTATCTCTTGATTGAGTAATTTTAATTACATTCAGGTGAATTCAGACATTCACCTTCCATGGCAGTGAACAAGGACATAAACTGAAGACTATTTCAAGTTATCCCTGATTCTGTGTGAATGCAAAGTGTTGATTACAGCAATGCTCTAGAGCTTACCTGACCAACACAGTAGGCAGGGAAAATACCCAAAAGCTAATTAAAACCTTTATTTTTTTACTTGGAAAAATATATTCTTCAGACTGAAGGACCATACACTATGGAATTGTTTTGTATAAATGAAACCCTAGTCAAACTTCTTCTTAAGTTTCATTCATTTAAATTCACAATTCCACTCATAGTAGTAAAGTAGGTAATATTATGTGATTAATATATTTCAGATTTTGAATGTAATGGTGGCTTTCTTTTTCTCTTCTCCTTTGGTTAAGTTTTACCAAAGGTCTGTCCTTGGGTGTGTGAAGTGTTTTGTCGAGTGCTTTCCCACCTGTGCTTTTCTGACAAGTAACAGCACCAACCATCATTCTAACAGCCATGTAGGAACACATACTGTTTATTGAAAGCAAAACTTTGATTTTATATAAGTGATCAGAGACTAGTAACTAAGAGGTAAGAAATACACTGTTTCCAACAGCAGTTTCTATCTGTAAGAAATCTACTGTTAATTCAGTACATGTTGGCTACTCTTATAAATCAGTGTGCAGTGATAAGGCCGAGTGTATTGTATAATGGGCTTGGACTTTCAGATTAGATTTTTTTTGTTTTAAAACTGGATAGGAAGAAATTGGAGTGGTTTCAAACACCAGTGGTTTAGATGGCTCTTTTGCGTTAATATTGAATTAGAAGCTTTCTTTAAATGCACACTTGAAATTCCTGAC